TAGGATGACTGGCAAATATGAGATCAAATGTCCCAGGATGTTTGAGTCTTCGTTTGAAGTGCAGTGCCCACACTCCATGTTTTTTCACCATTTCAAATTGGCCATTCTCATTTCCTCTTGAGATCACATATTCAAAGTCATTCTAATTTCAGAAAAAATAATCAAAGTGTTTACAGTTGTGAAAACAATTTCTGTGTACTAAATGTATATCAGATCAAAGACTATATAATTCTGTACTCAAATCTGGGTACCCTGAGAAACCCTTAGATGGCAATTATCTTCTAAAAGTAAAAGGGCTGCGGTTGTCTATCACTCAGTTCTAGGTTGATTGACACAATCGTGAATTGTGTAATAACATCTTTACACTTTTATTAAATGCAGAATTGAGTGACAAATAACACACAACATAAATATACATACTGGTACTTTAAACGCTGACGCTTTGCTTAAAACAGAGATGTCTAGGTATAAGTTCTGTCTTTTTGCTACATTTCTAGAGACATTCATTCTGTACCATATATATATAGGGGCTCAGACTGTGCTTTCCCTTAGGCCCTTGCCTATGTTTTACATCAGTCCCTTTAAGAAAAGTGCCAGGGCTGCACCCCAGCACCCAGAGAAGCACTGTGGTGCTCCCTGGAGCACACTGGCTCAACTACGGCCATTCGGCCACATTTCAGAACACTTGAATGTCTCTTGCTTCCGTGAGGTGACCCATGGTTTGAAATTGGAAGAGTATAGTAAATGGGGAAGCACTGACCGCAAATTGCTGCTGCATAAGAAGCAACAATAATATGTCAGGGCATTGTTTCCAAACACATCCTTATTGAATGTGGCACCCCAAGTAATAAACCTGTGATATGAATTGTCAAATGAAAACAACTTCCAAGACTTTGGCAACTACTTCTGGTATTTTCATTAATTTTGTTGATAACAGTAACTTTCACATGGAGCATTTAGTTTGGGGTTTGTTATCGCCACACGGCTGTTGCACTGTTACTGCGTCAGAAATCTTGGTAAAATGTGTTAGCAGATGTAATACATCTTTAGAACCTTACTGAGGATTGTGTAGTGTCCACAGACTTCCTATGTCACTTGGCAAGCCTTAAACTTATGTTTACATTTATGTACTGTGTGTATAAAATATGTGCTCCCAGTATTAAAAATGTGAAGACTCAGAAGCTATGAAAATGGCTCCCCAGTAGCTCAAGTGTTCATAATTATTAAACAAGTCGCATGTCGATGAGAAACCTACCTTTATAGCTGGCTGAAGTTTTACTATTCTCATTCGATGTTTGGTTTGTGCTAAACTGAGTTTCAGATACATCTGCTCATTATGATGATGTCTTACTTTCCTTTTCCTGTGTAGACTGTGTTTCTGTCAGAAACAAAGAGAAAGCTTCAAATAACATGTTGAAAATAGTTTCTAATACTTTTATAATTTTGACTGATATGCAACCAAACTCATAATCTGGCTGAGGATTGTAAAGGAAGGATTCTAATATATCATAGAGGATTAGACAAAAGGGCATTGCACTTAAATTCATTACTGCACAAACATTTTAAAGGAGTGAATTTGTCCTGTGGTTTGGTGATGACACAAACATGTACTTAATTTTATCTGCCTTTACTTCGTGACCAAATTCCTTACCAGCACCTAATAGACCTTTTGGGTCTTTCTTTATGAAATTTATGTTTTCAGTAAATAAATTAATATCATCAGCATTGACCAGAAGATGATGTGTCCCATTCAAATACTGTCTGTCTGTTTTCTTGAACATTCTTGATGGCATATTCTAAGGCAAAGTTGAAAAGCAATGGTAATAAAGCATCTCCTTGTTTCAAACAATTCTGAATAGGAAGTTCATCAGACAAATGTTTACCCATATGGCCTTTGCTATAGTTTTAATTTAAACACATTGTAATTAGTCTAACTAATTTTGATGATATAAAATTAATTGAGAATGTTGTATAATAATTCCCTGCTAAATGAATCAAAGGCCCACCCATTGTACTTCCATTTCATCTCCAATATCTAATAAATGCAGAATATCTAATTAGTTACTTTGATTTCTGGACAGACACTTGGAGACTTCTGTACAAAAGTCGACCCACAAGTGTGGAAAAAGCTTAAGAAGAAAGAAGTCAAAACCGCCTCTCTTTGTGATCACTTCATTGCACTTGTGCAACAATGCATAATAATTTTAGCAAAAATTCAGAAGTAAAAAGATAAGTTGTACATAGTTAACATTGTTGTAATGCATACCTTAAGATGTGATGAAGTACTCGGTCTCTTGATGACTGGAGTTCCGCTGTCATTTAATGCATTATTCACATATGTGCTATTCCAGTTTGATGTAAGTAACCCATGAAGGGATCTTCTATGGCGATTTTTACCATTAATCTAAGATTGAAACAAATATTTACTACTTATCTTCTACGAATGAGACTGTGCATTTCTCGTCTGATCTGTACTTACAAATAAACAGGCAAAGAAATTTAAAAACTGGATTTTTATTGTCCACAGCTTTTAAAATGTGGTTGAACATCTACACACACAATCAAAATAGACAGCAGCAAAACCTGAAAAATTGTGGCCTGCTTCATTACAAACTTTGACTGAAAACTTTCATGAAACAAAGATGGCTAGGAGATCAAAGTTAATTAATGATAAGCCTGTATAGTATTAGTAGTAGGTTTTTCCCATTATGTTTACTGTTTCACTATCCTTTTCATTTCTGAGTTTAATGAACCTGCAATCACAGTAATTAGAAGGAAAGCACCATAAATTATGACAGATATAAAGAGGAAAAGATCTATGCATGGGTTTTAAATTCTGGATACTTAAGTTTACTTTGTGAATAATATATTCAAAAGTAACAACTATGTCATGAACTGTATTAAAGCAGTAGATAATTTCTCTTATTACAATATCTACAATAATTTACTATGAAAAAGATTTATAAACTTATCATTTCTTAATATGAACAAACATTAGGTATGTTTAGAAATATTTAATTCCATCATACTAATATACAGTATACATACCTTGCAAGAGAAACACCCTTCTGTAGAAATTAGTTTGTCTTGTGGTATCTGGTAATGTTCAGAATCAATAGGGTATGTAGGAACATTTCCTATATCCTCTCCTGTATAGCTATGGGCTATTGGATTTATTGTTGACAGACAGTGACCCTAAAATGAAAGAGAATTTATGAAAGCGTGAAATGTCTTCTACTTATATTTAAGCTGACTTGGTGGTACATGTTTAATAAAAGTTGCCCTTATACAGTTGATAACGTATTAAAGATGGTGATCTGAAATGTCCATCCAGAATCGAGAATAAGTTATTCATCACTAGTTATAAAAGTTAAAATAAATATACTGCTTCATATTTATTCGATGTAACTTTACTTGTCATGTGCTGTATTATTCCACCACTGATGAGATTTTAACTTGCACAGCTGAGCAAACCTAAAATATTCTTTTTTCTTAAACTTATATAAAATTCAAAATGTTTTGATTTAAATTTTGTTTATGTGGCAATTACAAGTTTAAATTAGTACTGAAAAAAAGGACAATGGATCAAACCAGTCATACACAAGTTGTGTCATTTCAGTAATTAATTAGTTAAAACATATGCTTTCTGACACAATAAAATATTATAATGAGCACCAGCAAACAATGGAAGTTCATTCATTAAATAAACATTTAATTAAAATAAAAATGTATTATTACAGCTCTGACTCAGAAACCTTCAAACTGCAAAAGTGAGTACATACTTGGCCAATGCGCTGGTATCCTGTCGGACAGCCACACTGAAAATTATTGCCACCAAGCGATGTACAGCCAAACGCACATGGACTACCTGCACAGCCAGCACTTACCTGAACATAAAATTTAAATAAATAAAGCCATATAAATTAAAGGTCACACTGTCAAACACAAACAGAATCATGGTATTTCCAAACATCTTTTCATAATTTTCATAATCTGGACTACTCTTTTAAAACTTTATATTTATTACACTTAATATTCCCTGTTTCTGTGCAGTGACAATAACTGACACAAAAATTTTACCTGTATGCAAACGGAGAGTGCTGTGTCAAATTGGTAGCCATCAGGACATCCGCAGCGATAGCTACCAAAGGTGTTGTAGCATGTGCCTGAGCCACAGGGAGACTGATTGCACTCATTGTCATCCACACACTCGTTACGGTAAAAGTGCTGAATGAAACCTTCTGGACAAGCACATCGGAAAGTACCAACCAGATTCTGTATAAGACAAATATGACACCATGATGATGATAATGATGGTATAAATATACAGTATTTAAATTTATCCTAGGGTGGGGAAAAACAAACAAAAAACACAACAACCACCACATAAAATTACATTTTGTCCTTCTAGATATCTTGTCAAACGTTGATACATGCATCAGTAATAAAAAAAATGCAAAAAGATGTCTGTTCATTACTACAAGAATCCAAGCCTAGAGGATTGTGAGGCATCTTATGATGTAACACAGTTACGATGATAACATGGCAAAGAGACCACATAAACCTCAGTGAAACAAGTAAAATTTTAGATCATAATCCCATAAATCCTATACTAAACTTCATTTGCTGTGATCCTACATATGAACAACTACCAACACATCTGCATAAGAAGTTCAGAAAAAAATTAAAGTATGGGACAAAGAATAAAAATAAAATTAAAGATGTACCTGACAGCCATATCCATATGGGCATTTAGAGTCATCAGTGCATTCATCTGCATCTGTACAAAATGTTCCAGTTGAATCCAGTTTGAATCCCCGAGGACATATACATTTAAAACTTCCCAGCGTGTTGATACAGTTTCCAGGTGGCGGACAAGTTCCAGTCTGCTCCACACACTCATTTATATCTGTAAAAGAACAATGTGTTGTAGTACCATTTTAAACTTTGCATATGTATCCATTCTCCTTTCCTTCAGCTGTTTCTGTGTGTTACACATTTAAAGTATGATGCTTATTTTTATAATAACAGGCAGCACTGCGCTAATCCCTCACTGGTGCCATCCATGCATTCATGTTACTGTATTAATGTGTTCAATGTTAAATTCTTGGGAGGAGAGAATATTTTTGTGTAGCTTATCTCTAGTTTAATTCTTTGTTTTATGTTTTCAATATTAACACCCTCGATATTAAGGAATACAACTAAGTCAAACAAGATGGTAACAGCAGCAAGTATAAAGAAGACTGTCTTCTGGTATTCCAGAAGATCACCATCTTCAAGATGTTAAGACTTTTAGTTAAAGAAAATAATATAATTTCAGGATGAACTACAACAAAAAAAGGGGGGCTAAAACAATAAGTTTAATTGACATGTATTTAACCTCATTTGCTCATTCTTTCAACCACATATTTTTAAAAATGAAAACAATTTATTTTAATAGGAACTGGTATTTGAAACTTTGAAGTACTTATCATATTGAAAAATGATTTACCTGTACACTGATCTCCAACCTGATTATATCCTTTAGGGCATGAACATTTATAGCTGCCTTGTGTATTCACACATTCATGTTGACATACATGCCGCCCTGTTGCACACTCGTCCAGATCACGGCAGCTAACACCATCAGGATTGAGAACAAATCCAATTGGGCATGAGCAAATAAAACTTCCGTCTGTATTCTGGCACGCGAACTTACAAGGTGAAGGAATTTGTTCACATTCATTTACATCTGAAAGTTCAAACATGGCAAAGTTTAGTGTAATTAATCATTGCAGTAAAAATTTTAACCTATTAAATACTGTTATGTTGAACCTCTAAGCTTGAATTACTTATACTGTTTTTCATTAAAATAGCATCATTTGCCTGTGATACAGCAGGCTATATTACTTTCAAATTATGTGGCATGCAATGTATTCTATTTCTGGAGTCATGTTAAACAACTGAAATCTGAATCATCTTATCTTACCAATGTAAAAAGTTAATCAGTAACTTCTTACTGTCTGTCCTCCATATTTTGACACATGTAGATAAACTGTCTGCAAGAGTTAAGTAAATACTTGTGTTGTAGGTGGCCCAGTATGCAAGTGATGTGTATATGTGAAACCTCTTATTCCTCCGTGAAGAACACTGGTCTTTAGCACAAAATATTTCTCACACTTGTTTGTTAACTTTCTACAGTTCTACTGTTGTAGTATCATTATTTTTTATTTTTTTATAGTGTAAAAGTCAGTGTATAAAAATGCCACCAACTGTGTCAAAACTAAAAGGAAAAACATTTTTTCAGTCACATTATACATGCTCACATAGACTCTTTCCTGTCTTTCTCCCCTCTTGCCCTTTACATCTTCCCTTCTCCTCTTATTGTGACATAGCCCAAAGCAATCATATTTCTTGCACTAATTACATATTAGAATATAACATACCAAGACAACGAGTCCCACTATGATGAGGCTTATAGCCCTTGTTACAGATGCAACGATATGATCCCAGTGTGTTTATGCATCTTCCATTCCGGCACAGATCTGGTATTGTATTGCACTCGTCAATATCTTAAAACAAACAAAACCACATTGAATATACATAGAAATAAGTGGTAAAGCCTTGATTTAGCAGCAAATTAATAGTTGAAAATAGTAGATTGTTATATTTATGAGTATAGGAATCTATATTTTATATGTGGTGGTTTGTTTTTATTGAACTGTTGCCAGTGCTTGCAGCCACTATTTCTTGAAAGCCTCTTGGTTTATCCACATTCCTTCAAAAAAAAAAAAAAAAAAAAAAAATAATATCATCCATCCTAACCTCAATATTGGCAGGACTAAAACATATATAGGGTTAGTCCTTGTATCATTTAATTAGGTAACCATTTGGTTTCAGATGTCTCCGATTTGTTAATGAATACACAAAACAAAACATACAAAATAAAAACTTAGTTCTATTTAAGACTCTAGGGGAGGTAATTTGTTTTTAGTTGAAGTTTGGTGAATTTGCTGTATTCTGAAATCCAGTTTGCTTCTAAAGAGACAGTATCAAAGATGTTACAGAATCTCTTACCATGGCCATCTACTGAATATCCTGATTCCAAACAAAGATCCTGATAATCATCTAAAGTGGGAGAGGGACATATCTCACAGTGAGGTCCCCAGGCAGCCCCCATTGTACAGCAACAGTCTGCTCTAGTCACAGGCTTCAGCCCATCAGTATGACTTGTGCATCGACCTGCCACTAGCTGCCGGAAACAGAAGCCAACTCGACGATCTGCAACACATTATAATTAGTACTACTCCTAATAGGTGTTATAGTTCATTATGAGACACACCTGTCTGGGGAATTTTTCTGCCAACTTTCAAAATATTTTTAGCATTTGGTAGAACTTCTTGGATGGGGGGGATTTCCACACAAGGCTTATGCCTACACAGAACAACAGCACAGAGAAATACAGTAGAATTCAATCCCTTCATCCTAGTGTTTGAATTGCCATGATGCATGCCCTGAACCAAACAGCTGCTGTGAGATAAACATTTAAATTTAATTTTCAGTTCCAAGACGAAAGATTTGAATCATTTATGTGCAAATGTTCTATTTATTAATTCCCTTAGAACAGCATGATTATACATAAAATGTATTTTTTAAATTATGCAATTTTAAAACATTCATTTTTAATTTAGGAATCTTTTGTAATATGAACATTACTTTTAATTTAATCATCAGAGACCAGAATTAATAGACGAGCAGACATTCCTCAATAGTTCATTTAACTGCTGTAAGGCTAGTGAAAATAGACAAGATTGCAATTAATCTTACTCATCCTGTTGTATTTAAGAAATTTTTATGCCAGAGATGACAACAGAAACAAGATGGAATTGCTGTATAATAATGGAAGAATATAAATTATTCTTTTATGTAAGAAATGAAGGTCTAGAACAGGTATGTGAGTAATATTCTATGCATTATGATTTGCTACAGGCTCAATTTATCTCTAGCCTCCCACCCCCCACAGGAAGAGCATTCCTGGGAAACCAATCTCCATTCTTTTACCATATAAAATCTATCAACATGTTATTCAGTTAACCTTCCTTAACAAATACATGCATTTCTTGCAAAATGTTAGCCATACCTATGCATTGTTTGCGGTCATGGCTGGGTTCAAATCCATTATAGCAATCACAGCGGTAACTTCCCTGCAGATTAACGCAGTTACCATTTCGACAAATGGCGGGATTGGTAACACACTCGTTAACATCCCGGCAGTCATCTGTGAGTCCTACTTGCTGGTAACCCTCTGGACAGATGCACATGAATGTTCCTATCAAGTTCTTACACATGAATTTGCAGTTGTTGGCAGGTGTCACACATTCATCCACATCTGCATCAAAAGCATGAGAATATTAATAATGTTCATTTCAGAAAGTAGGTAAAATAACTTCCTTTTAATTATCCATTTCTAATACTTAAAAAAAATACAATAATTTTTGCTTAGTCTTTACATATTTCATTCCATTGTTTGTGTGAGCTGTTTAGTTATCTTCTGTTTTCAAGCTTAACCCTTTGAAGAATACAATAAAATAATTATTTAGTACCAGACCTTAAAAACTTAACTAAGAATATGGACAAACAATTAAACATCATCTGATTTATATGCTCAGAGATTTTTTATATCACACTAAAAATAAAATAAGATTTTCAAGAATTCAGATGCTGTAGGATCAGTAAATCACATTAAATCACAAAAAGGGGGGACAAAAGTTTACCTTAATTATGGTTCTAGAGAAGTAGGCAAATACAAGACAAAATATACTTTTATGTACTGGTAGCACACATTTTTAAATATGATACCAAATATCATCAGTTAAGGCCTAATCAGATAGCATTTAAAACAAAACTGCAAAGTAAGATATGTACTTAACAAGTAGGAACCTTAACAACATACATATACATGTTTCAACTTTCCAGCCAAAGTGCTTGAAGCATATGTCAAACTGAATTTCTGGAATTGAAAAACAGCTGTTACATTGCATTAAGTTCAACTGTTTCTACATAATCAAATACTGATTAAGTTTAGGGTAAAGTAAAGCAAAGCAACAAAGAGTAGGGAGGCTTTCAGATCAATGCTGAAATGAATATGCTTGGGCCTCACAATCTATAATCCTAAAATTTTGTCTCAACTGACCTTGGCAGTGTCTTCCGTCTGGTGCTAAGGCATAGCCATATGGACATATGCAACGGAAAGACCCTGGAACATTGTGGCATCGGAAGGCGCACTGATTCCCCATTTCCTGACATTCATTAACATCCTCACACACCTATGAAACACACATAAAGCTTACAATGTATTATAATCAGGAAAGACAATAAATAAGACTACTTAAATGTGTAATTAGGTAAGATACACTGTTACCTGCATTGGTCCAGGAGCAAAACCTTCACTACACGAACATTCAAAGCCACCTTCAACATTGTTGCATGTGCCATTACCACAGATATTTTTTACTGATATGCATTCATTGTCATCTGGAATCAAAGATACAAATTTGCTGATAATTTGTCAGCTAACAGAAAACTGAATCACTAAAATGACAATTTTATGAATTCCTAGCAAGACTCAGACACATTATTTATTCAAAAGTATATATCTCATAAAGATAACATTTTATTCCAGTTCAGGCCAGGTTTGTTCAAAATGGTGAAACAGAACATTCATTACAGTCTCACTGACATCCAAAATGTGAAACTCAGTCATGTTTCTTTCATTTAATCAGGTAAAACAATAACCTCATTTTAAAATGCAGTTCTTAAATATTGACAGAAATCATGAAAGTAGGATTTGAGGTTGTCTGAAAAGAGGTTTCAGGGTTAAAAACCAGCCTGAAAGAACATCATACTAAATGAATCCTGAAAATTCGATAAAGATTAGATAGTCATTCTTGACTTACGAGCATGCTGATGGATGTAGAATGTATTTTAAGTATTTGTATTTCATTCATAATAAATATTTTTACCATATTAAAAAAAAACATTCAAACATTCTTACCAATACACTTTTTGCCAGTTCCATCAAGCACAAACCCAGTAGCGCACTCACATCGAAATGACCCATCTGTATTAATGCAGTCACCTCCATCACAAGCATTAGGCATGAAAGAACACTCATTAAGATCTTCTCCAGTGTCCCCTCGACCAACTCCTTGTGGGCACAATTTGTTGAATTCAGCTATAGGGATCAAAACCATATGAAGTAATCAGTTTTCATTATTGTTTTCCAGTGCTACAGAAATTTGTGTCCGAATAATTAACTGGATTCTGTAGCCCCTCAGCAGTGCTAGAATCTATTTTATATTTATTCTGTAAGCATCCACTACGCAACTCTCAAGCAATGAAGGTGAAAGGGGGACAAAGAAAATGTTAGTTGACAGAGTAAACCTATAGTTTATCCTGGGCTATTAAAACAAGAGATTTAACTTAATCACTTGGATGATAGTACTGAACAGAATATGTAGTGTGTGTCATACTGACCTCCCTCCACCCCCCTTCTGTAAGATGACAAAAATTATGGGGAAAACACACATAATCTGACAAAATTTCTTGAGAACTTCTGGCACAGAATGTCAGCATCCCACCGTTAGACCACCAGATCCCTGTACATCAACAATTATAATTTAATATAAGCTTAAAGTTTTTTGAGAAAAGTATATTGTAACATGTAAAATTTTGGACTATGTCCATCATCTAGATTATAAAGTAATAAAACTACAACGTCTCAGAAACTGGATTCTGATTCCGTCTTCAAGAAAAGCAAGGGAGAAAAGACAGAAGTCCTGTCTGCTGGTCCTCCTGGTTGAGCTAGCCTCAGACCTGTAGTTCAGGTCCCCTTTCCACCTTCTTTACTTGAAGACAACAGCAGAAAGCAGGTTCAGAATGTTGTAGTATTGTCATTTTATACCTTAGATGACTGATAAATTCCAAAAGAACAACTTTACATAATGTATAATTTATTCATCCCACATGTTGCCCCACACGTATGAAACCATGCACAATATACATCTCTTTGTAAGTGATGGCAATGAGTGAAGACAAACGTGTGTGACCTTACACCTCTGGACTTCTATGTGGGGACACCTGAAAGCCAATGTGTAGGCTGTGAAAGTATGTAGTATCAACCATCTTCAAAAGTGAACTGTCACTACATGCAATAAGATGATACCACAAAAAATTAATGCCATTCCCTGGACTGCTAAAAGCACTTGCATATTTACATTAGCATAAATGGATGTACTGAGCATAGTTTGTAACAGCTATGTCAAAATTCCAATACTGCCCATGGTTCTAAGTCAATAATATTATTCAAACCAATTAACTAACAACAGAGTTCACTTTTAATATGATGTGATTATTAGGTTATGGCTTTGAAATTATTTTGAAACTGAATGTGACTAATATCCAACTCAGGTTTACTTATTCTAATAGTTCTATCAAATCCAGAACATCTTACTTTTAAAGTTAAGCTGTAATTTAAAAGATTGCTGACATCTTCAGATACCTCTTCTAGGATTATCTTTCAATGTCTACAAACTACTTTCCTAAAAGAAACTATAGGTAAAAGATATTAAGGTTACACTATACCTGAGCCTTGGCGGGGACACTGTTCGCAATGTCGACCCCATGCCAAACCCATGGAACAGCAGCATTTCTTTGCTGTGATGGGTATCATCCGAGGATGAGAACACTGCCCTAAAACAAAGTACTTAGTTGACACAACACAAACTGCACTATAAATCATCATGAGCAACATTTCACATAATCCACAAAACCAGTATCAATGGTAAATGAACAACAGTTTTCTTTAATCTCAAAGTAAAAGTATCTTAAATGACTTCACCTACAAAAACTGCAGTTCAAATGATTTGTAATATAGGCAGTGAAGTCTGATATAATCAGGCAAATTAATCACATCTGTTGATGTGCTTATAATCCCTTCATCTGGATAGTGATGATTAATAATAAGCTGTTATGTTAATCAGCAGCAAACTATAGGCTTATAAAATTTATCTACCAATTAAGATTTCTAAGGTATTATTCCTCTGTGACAAAGATGCAATACTTGGAATGTCTGAGAACCACTTACGCAATCCTTGGACATCATGAAACATGGGTTTGGAATCACTGGTAAAAGAAAAGAAAATATCCATTATTGGATGAAAACATATTATTAATAGTAGAAAAATGCTAACCTCTATAAAATTCATCATAGCACAGCTCCTCTCGAACGTCAATGCACTTCATACCATTTGGACTGAGTATGTAACCTTCAGGGCACTCACATATCACTCCTCCATCTGTATTAACACATGCTCCTTCCTCACAAATGCCAGCATTCTCTACACATTCATCAATGTCTGTATGAACAAAAGAATGTAATTCATTAAACATATATAACTCCTTAACAAAAGAGCCAATTTCACATCTTCCTGTTATTAGGAAATGATAGGGCTATGCTGTTAAAGATCAAACTATTTTCCTGCACTTCTATCCATCACAGAAATTTCTTCTCAGACCAGTCAAGATCTGAGTCAAAGATTATAACCCCAACCAAGGACTTAGGTTGGGACAATACTAACAATAACTAATGATGACTGCACATGTCAAATAGCTCCTCTTCATCTTTGGGCCACAAATAGAGAATAGTTCTCTCTATCAGATGGTGTCCTCCATTTATACTTGTAGATAAAAATGATTCGTCCTTAAAACATGGTGTTTTTTAAAACATTTACATTTTCAAATTATGATAGTTAAAGTCAGAATAAAAAATTAGTAATAAAACTTCGTGCTTCTTGTACTAAAGGTGCCCATAGAACTGTTATTAAAGGCTGAGACTGTTGTAACTAAAATTGAAAATATTTTTAAGTAGAAATAAAGAAAATTAACCATTGTTAAATAAAAACAATACCTTCACAGGCATTTCCATCTGGACCAAGTTCATAGCCAGGCGGACAGCTGCAAATATATGATCCCATCAAATTCTGGCATTTTCCTGGAGGAGGACAAGTTCCTGGAACCTAACCCACAAATACATCAGGTGAAAATATAACAAGGTTGAAAATGTTTTCTCTTTGGAGGACACTAAAATTCGAAAGACCCAGGGTCAAAGCACGGTGTGATTAAGAACCCAAAGAGTTCAAGCTCTTGAGATTGCTCTGCCCTCTTACAGTAACCCTGGTGGATTCCCTAGTACCTTGGGGTTAGCCTTGGTGAGGACAAGGTGAAAAGTGTGACAGACAGACAGACATGAATGGACAAAAAAAGAATACTGATGTTTCATTAGTTTCATCTATAGCAGTGTTTCTCAAACTGTATTCAATGGAATCTTGGAGTTCTGCAAAAAGGCTACACAGGATGACTGTTTCCTGGGCTATTAAACCACTTAGTCTGGTAGAAAATGACTAACATTTCAGGGGTAACCTTAAAACTTTGCATCCCATGTAGTGTATTGGAATATAAAAATAAGCATACAAACGAAACTGTTTACAGTAGTGTCATTTATAGTGCAAACAGTTTTGTTTGTATGCTTATTTTTATATTTCAGGGGTACTTACTGCCGCCATCATCAGGGCAATGACCTTCATGCACTTTGTCATGAAATGGGTAGCAGTTAATGCAATGCTGTTACTGTACATGAAGTTCAGAGGTTATCAGTAATTAGTCTCTGTATTAACACTTTGTTCATAAATGCTGTTACTTAATGTTGATCATCCCTTCCAATTTCCATCATGTTTGCATGACTGTGATTCCAGAGATAAGCATACTAATCTGACATTTTTATAAAGATGAACACAATATCACTTCAAGCACAACTACTGAAACTATCTAAACATATAAAAAACAACCCTTCTTAACTAATTTAGAATTTTGGAGAATCTGTGCTGAAAAAATGTAATACCGTTTTCCTACATTAAATGACTTTTTTGACTGAACTTGAGAGCAAGAGTGATGATGTTCAGTCACATGTATTGAAACATTTATGACCTACAAGTTGCAATAAAAAAATACACCCACCTCATGACATTCATCAACATCCCTACAATGCTGGCCATCAGCTGCCAAAACATAGCCCTCTGCACACTCACAGTTGAATGAACCCAGTACATTTCGGCATCTTCCATTGCGACACAAAAAGGGCATCACACGGCATTCATCAATATCTAAAAGGTAAGAGAGATATCTCTTGTAGTAATCATATAAGAAAATCTATTACAATGCAAAATTCTGTTTTCCAGTTAAACAATTTCTAACTTCTAACTTTAGTTCCTCTGTTATCTTGAAAAGTGACCTTTTAGTTTCTCTCATTAAATATATTGAACAACAGAAATCAATAATGTATTCACTTTCACAATTTAGGTACATTTTTAACCAAAAATTCATGTCTAAAAGCATACATTTAATGTGTGCATATTATTTTTTGAGAGTATAATTTTACAGGTTAGATTGAGGTTTTATGAGAACTATGGCTGCAAAAAATTGAGATAAAAATTATGTGTGAAAAATGATTGATTTATATTTTTTCCTGCTATAATTTATAACCTTCCTCTGCAACTGTTTGACACACTTCCAAAATCTCTATTCATCATTAACAATTTATTATAAGATGTAGTAACATTTGTTCTTGTCCGTAATAAGTCACCCAACATATAATGCCTCTGATGGGAAGTTCCACTAATACAAACATTACTTTTGTTACAACTTCCCCTTCTCTGCCTGCTATCAATTTTGTGGAAATGCTGCCCACTTTTTATTAAGTAAGAATCAGTCCATCTCAACCTATGTACATAATGTGTGGTCTCAACACAAACGGAGAAGCAAGCAAAATAATGAATGACCAATGAATGGTGACGCTGTCCAACAGCAACAGCTGTAACTAGTCTGAAGGAGGGGAGAGATGTGTGAGACTACTGTCATATTTTACACCAAAAGTGTACTCCTTCGGTCTTCAACCTATTTATAATTAATGAAATGCATGTTGATAAAGATACAGCCTTTTCTAAACTGCTAAGCTCCTTCTATTAGATCCAACTAAACTGGCATTATCACCTTAAGATGGCAGCTATGCCAGCAACTGAAACAGTGATTTTTCCTTAAAATACTGAAAGTATGCACAGTCATTACAAGTCTTTACATTCATACTGCTATGATATTTTGAGGTTTAGAAAATAAAGACCAAAATGAAGAAAACAGTACCACAATAACAAACAATGAGCGTTGATTTTTACAGTATAAACATCTGTGTTGACCATTACTTTGAAAGCCTTGACATGTATGATAAGATCACCATCATCTTCCTACCACCTGCCAGGACATTATTCCTGGCAGGTGTGATGAGAATTTTTCATTTTGTCTGTATGCCCATACTGACTGACAGCCAACAGAATCACCTATCATATGTGTAAATTCCCCTGGGGTATAAGTGACCCTATGAGTCTTCATGGCAGGTTGACCATTTATACACAGGACAGACATTCTAACAAAGCTATAATTGTAATGGTTAATTTAAAGTAATGTTTAGAAGAAAACATACCAATGCAGTCATTGTTGTGGCTGAGCTTAAAACCTGGATAACAATGGCACTTGTAAGATCCAACTGTATTGGCACAAGTTCCATTGTTGCATATATTGGGATGACGTTTGCACTCATCTATGTCAAGGCAGGAGTCTCGTGTAGGTGTCAGCTGGTAGCCATTCTGACAAATACATTGAAAGCTTCCTTGGAAATTGTTACATTCTCCATTGCTGCAGATTCCTGGTCTTTCTCTGCACTCATCAATGTCTGAAACAAATGACACTGTTTGTTGCAAGACTCTGAACAGAAAACTTAATAAATTTAATACATTTGGGTCTCTGAAGATGGCTCTCATAGGGCCAAATAATCTTCAGTAATCACCCTTGAATGTCCCTTTATAATATAATAAATGTTAGTAGATCCTCACCTACACAATCTCTTAAACTAATTCCAAGTTTGTAACCTTCTGGACACTGACACTCAAAACTTCCCGGTGAGTTGACACACTGGGCATTGCCTCGACATGGACTTGGAACACGTATGCACTCATTGTCATCTAAGAAAAAGAAATCCTGTTATAGTCACGCAGGTAAAATGAATGAGGAATATAATGAACACCGGGCAGGAAGACGAATTTCCTGAAATAACATAGCTGTCTTATTATAACCAACATTATTCCTAAGAGTTCTATTCATGCGGATGGAAAAGTACTGTAACTATGATTAACTTTTATAAATTCATGTTGTTTGGATAATTTAAATGAAAACAGTTGTTTACTGTAGTATATTTGAAAATCACATCTCTGAGTGGGTACAGAAATTTAATGGCACTGTAGAGGAATTGGATGATGCTCAGCAGCTGGGATGACAGTATTGCAGTAGCATAAATTTTACATATAAAATGAAGGAGAAGTGTCTTAACAAGTGCAGGATCTTACTGGCTCACTACATAACAGAGGGACATAGTTTTCTTATAGACAAACTATGACGGACGAGTAATGGGTACAAAACTTTCAACTTAAAACCAAAAAAAGTCACTACATAACAGAGGGACATAGTTTTCTTATAGACAAACTATGACGGACGAGTAATGGGTACAAAACTTTCAACTTAAAACCAAAAAAAGCTAGCAAATAGTAACATCATTCATTGCTGAATTTCAAATCATTCTGGGTAACAATGCAAGCTGGAAAGATGTGACTGTTTTCTGCGTAATGAGCAGTATCTGAGTAACAGATTCCCTGCATAAGTTATCCATGGTAAAGAGCAAAACATACTGCAAGTTTCTGAAGGTAGCCATTAGGTGAAAATGTGTTCAAGAGCATCTGCTTATAACAAGATAAGTCTGTCCCAGTACATTTTTGGGTCCTTGTTGGAATAACTGACAAGTAATAAATAAATTTCTCATACCAATGCACTGATGAACATTGATGTCATAAACAAATCCTCGATCACACTGACATTCAAAGCTTCCTGGTGTATTCATACATCGCCCATGGTTACACATTGTTGGCATCAGACGGCATTCGTCTATTTCTTCAGTCTGATTAGTAATACGGTTCTGAATATAGCCAGGTTTCATCTTTGGACCTCCACATAAAGCGATCCCCTCCTCTAGAACATATCACAAGCATGGTTCCTTTAGTATTGCTGTACCAGCACAGTAATAATTAACCATCTACTACCGTACAAAGATCTTTGGAACCAATCGCTCACTGCACACATGTAGGACTATGAATACACTTCCATATTAATCAGCATCTACAAGTCTGTGCTTCATAAGTACTATATTTTTAATACAGTTACGAACAATTTAAATTACATGAACTAATTTTTTATTTCAGTTTCAGCTTTATTTCACAAAAAATCATACCATATTCTACTACATAATTCATGCCCTCATGTAATTTGTATATTCTCATTTATAATTATAAAAAAATAAAAATAAAATAAATAACCCAAGAATTTCAAATAACCCGTTCATATATGAAACTCAACAATAACAATAAACATTTTAATCACAGAAATCTGAAAGGAGTGCAGCTGGTATAAAATCTAGAGCATCATTTCCTGTCATTTTGCAGACATGGCAAGTAGACATTTGATAAAAGGTTTATTAGTGTTTGTTTCTACCACGCAGCTTCAGACCAACATCCTACATAAGTCCACTAGCAGACAGCTCCATTATAAACTCAACATTATCTTCTGGCCTACTAATAATTTTCAGGTAAGGTAATATTTACTTGAATCTGGGTGAGGACATTCTTGGCATGGGGTTCCCCAGGCATGCCCCATGGAACAGCAACAAACCATACGAGTCTGTTCGTTCATCATCGGATTGGTGCAGCCTCCATCGCTGTATTCCAAGAAGCACTGGCTTTTCCGCATATCCACACACTCCTCTACAACAAGTTTTAAGTCATGCCTCTGTCATTCACCACACAGGAAGTATGAGAACTGTTGATTTTTATTTCATTCCTCCTGAATTTCCAGGCTTGCATGATATATTAGAAGCAATGGCCTGAAAATTCTTAAAAAAAGTTTAGGTCTTGATGCTGTCTCTTAACTACAGAGTTTTGATAACTTTTGGTTATTAATGTCATAAATGCCAATACTGATTCATTTGAGGAAATGTTGAAAAAAGACAATTTAATGGTAAATCATTGAATTGACTGCATATCAGCTTTTCAAGAAGGAATATGCTCAATGGAAGTAGTTAGTGTTAATACAAGTTCAAAGTCAATCTGAGCTAAATGTTCTTTTGTACGGTTGTGTGGCCCCAGCCTAAGGGCGTAAGATTGTCTGAACCTTAAGCAGAGACTTATACTTACTTCCATTAGGCAGTAGCATGTAGCCATGTGGGCACACACAGTGGTAGTTTCCAATTTCATTAACACAAGAGCCGACTCCACAGATATGTAGATCCTCATCACATTCATTGATGTCTGAAATATGAATGCATTGTTATCAGCAAGATATTTTCTTTAAACAACATAGTAGGAAGAGGTATATATAAAATAAAAATTTACATTACACTTTATCATACATGTGTCACTGCTTAAGCATGATCTAACTGGCCATGCATCATGCTAGCACACTGCTAAACCATTCACCCTGGGGTTAAAGTCTGGCCAGCAGTCCCCAAGTATAATTCCCCCATTACCATACTACCAAGAGGAAATAACAAATCAGATAAGTAATGAACCGAAATATTTCTCAGATAGGATACCCCTGTGAAACTTCTTTAGAAGATCAATATAACATTCCAAGAATTTTTTGTGATTCCTTCATATATGAAACTCCTTCAAAGGCTAGTACATTTCCTTTCTAGTGCAGAGGACATAGTGTGTGTTCACTCAGAGTTTAGTGAAAATTAGCTGCCAAAGTTATTGTCTGTCAAGAAGCAATGACATTTAAATTCATCAGTGATAAATTTAATTTAGTTTAATAGTAACAACCTACCAACACAAAAAGCATTACTCTCATCCAAACGGAAGCCATCATTACATGAGCACATGAAGCTGCCAAATGTATTGGTGCAATGTCCATTACGACACAAGTTCTCATATTCCTCACATTCGTTAATATCTTCCAGAAGCACCTGTAAGGATATGAAACAGAATGTATATGCATCACTGACCCATAGTACTGCTGCTATCTTAATAGCATTCTTAAGGAATTTCATTATGTAACATATATATCTTATTCTTCTTCCTGTGGCTCTACAACCCAGTGTGGGTCTTGGCCACCTCCTTTCGGAGGTTTTAGTCTTTTGAAGCATGTATTTGTGAGTAGTGAGTGACCAGCCCACTGCCTCTGCAAAATTACATGTATACACATACCAGTCTTCTGTAAGAGTAGTACAAATATGTACAGCCCCATCATAGACTCATTACAGGGAAAGAAAACCGACTTTTAAACACAGCATGACATTGGCAACTTACTGTGATACTATTAGGCCTGTAGCCATTATTATTTGGGCAGAGAAACTTGTACTCCTCGGAGCCTTCTTGCGGACACAGTTCACAGCGTGGACCCCAAGCTTTGCCAATGGTGCAACAGCATGTCGCCTTGGTAACAGATTCACCAATTTCTTGGCTACAGCGCCTGCGTCCAGTTTTCTCCTCTACTTTTCTGTAGCATCGTGACTGCCGGCGATCTATCAACATGGTCTATATTAATAAAAGTCTGCCATTAACTCATACTACAAAAAGCCCTGTCTTCTTCTTCAGATTTTAAACTAGTGTATGGAACCATGGTGCTTTATACAGCAAAAGGTCCATATAAGAACATTCCAATGCTGTATTATGTTAGAATGAGTGAAAGGACTGGCTCTAACTTTTATGGTCCTTTTAAATCAGTATGTTACAGTATGCAAGAAGATTCCTAAAACCTTTATTTTATGTAAGTTGCAAAATCATTTATGTGAATATTAAAGTTACCAGTATTTTACTAATAAATATGTAATTAGATTCATATTTTAACAAAATCTGTAGAATTTGAACGGCCACAATTTTGTGTTTTCGAAACATTCAAGAACAATGTCAAAATCTATAGTTGATCACACCATTTACTGAAAAAGAAATATCTTCCAGTAGAATAGGCTTTCAATTAAACTTCAGTTTAAATCACATTGACTGCTTGGGCTGGTGTAGCATCATATAAAACATTTAGTTAAGAACTGTGGAAGTAGTTGAACTTAAAAATTAATGGGCAGCTGAACAGGTAAGACATAATTTGAACAAGTTAATTAACTCTGCAATCTAAAGGACATGTAAGTTACAAGAGTGTAAACTGCTCAATAAGCAGTAGCAGTAACAGTAGTAGTACTAGAAGAAAAAATGTGCAATTATGAATAAGTATGAATAATTGGCCTGATGGATTAATAATTAATTATCTCTGAAAAAAAAACTTAGTCAAATGTTGATCCAGTGAAGAACTTGACAACTTTTTAATTCAAGTAATAACAAGAGGTACATACCAACACAAGCATTTCCGGCTG